GGTCTGTCACTCCCTGATTGGTTTTTTTTTTTTTTCCCTCTAGAGCAGGGGTTCTCAACCTTCCTAATGCCATGCACAGCCCTTTAATACAGTTCCTGTGTATCGTGACCCACAGGTTGAGAAACGCTGCTCTAGAGTAGAGAAAAAAGTCTAGAAATTTTAGACTGTCAGGGTTTAATTTTTTTTTAACATCTGAATTTTTTTTCTTTTTTTTTTTGGCAGTTTTGGCCAGGGCCAGATTTGAACTCACCACCTCTGGTATATGGGGCCAGCGCCCTACTCCTTTGAGTCAAAAGGCTCAACTTCTCAACTTTAAATAATTTCTTCACCTTTAACTTCTCAACTTTAAATAATTTCAGACTTAGAAAAAAATTTGTAAAAATAATACAGGCATGAAGAATTCCCATATGCCCTTCCCTTTGCTTCACCAAATATTGACATGGCACATAGTACTACGGTATAATTATTAAAATCAGATAATTAATCAGATAATACAGTTATCTAATCTGCGAATTTTGCCAGTTATCCCACTACTATACTTTCTCTGGTCTAAGATCCAATATGAAATCACACACTGCATTTGGTTGTGTATGCGTTATTAGTTTGGAAAAAATAATTGAACCTATAAAAAAGTTGGAACAATACTACAGTGAATTTTAGTATGCCCTGTTCTTTCTCTCTGTACAATTTTTCAATTCTTTTTTTTTTTTAAAGACAGAGTCTCACTGTCTTGCTTGGGGAAGAGTGCCGTGGCATCACAGCTCATAACAACCTCAAACTCTTGGACTTAAGCAATCCTCTTGCCTTAGCCTCCTGAGTAGCTGGGACTATAGGCGCCCACCACAAACCCTGGCTATTTTTCCTATTTTTAATGGAGATGAGGTCTTGCTCTTGCTCAGGCTGGCCTCAAACTCATGAGTTCAGGCCATCCACCTGCCTCAGCCTCCCAGAGTGGTATACAATTCTTTTTTACTGAAGCATTTCAAAATTAATTTGTAGCCATTGTGATCCTTTACTCTAAATATATAAACATCTTTTTTTTTTGAGACAGAGCCTCAAGCTGTTGCCCTGGGTAGAGTGCTGTGGCATCACATCTCACAGCACCCTCCAACTCCTGGGCTCAAGTGATTCTCCTGCCTTTGCCTCCCAAGTAGTTGGGACTACAGGCGCCTGCCACAGGGCCTGGCTGTTTTTTTGGTTACAGCCGTCATTGTTGTTTGGCAGGCCCGGGCTGCTTTGGAACCCACCAGCTCAGGTGTATGTGGCTGGCCCTTTAGCAGCTTGAGCCACAGGCACCAAGCCAATATATGAACATCTTTTAAGAACAAGCACATTCTTTTATAGCTGTCATATAACTATCAAATTGAGGAAATTTAACATTATTACAATGCTATTAATCTAACATATGGTTCATATTCACATTTTACCGGTTGTCTCAATTCTATCCTTTATAATAATGTTTTTCATGATCCCTGGATTTAATTTAGGATCATATTTTTTTTTTTTTATTTTGAGACAAAGCCTCAAGCTATCCCCCTGGGTAGAGTGCTATGGCATCACAGCTCACAGCAACCTCCAACTCCTGGGCTCAAGCGGGTCTCCTGCCTCAGCCTCCCAAGTAGCTGGGACTACAGGCGCCCGCCACAACGCCTAGCCATTTTTTGGTTGCAGCCATCGTTGTTTGGCGGGCCCGGGCTGGGGATTTGAATCTGCCACCTTAGGTGTATGTGGCTGGCGCCTTAGCCGCTTGAGCCACAGGTGCCGAGCCAGGATCATATTTTTTTATTAATTATTATGTCTCTTTAAATTCCTTTAACCTGGAATAGTTCCTTAGTCTCTTGTTTTTCATAACATTGACTTTTTTTTTTTTGGAGTCCAAGTTGTTGTTTTGTGGAATGGCCATCAATTTACTGTTTGCTTAGGCCAGTCTTTTATCAAAGTTGGGCCTCTGCTGGCACTAGCCTAGCTTGGCTATTCTCCAACAGTGAGGAGCCGATGTAGAAATCAAGATTACGTATGCCACTGAATATTTTTATAGCATTTAAAAAATAACTTTATGGGGGGGCTTCCCACTTGGATCCCCTTCCTCCACCTCTGGAGGTTTGGTTCTCCCTCTTCTGTTGCCCTCTTTTGCTCATCATGCTTATTTCTCCCTATCAATAAACTCGATCCTGTAGCTTAAAATGTTTGTTATGTCTTTTGAATCTAAGAATAAAAATTGGGGACTTCTGTTTTTATGTCTTGTTTTCATATCTCTAATAAATTCATTCTTAGTGCATTTTACAAAGTATCAGTTCCTAATGGGTGGGACTATTTTTTAAAAAGGGTCCTTTATTACTACTTTGAACAACATGGATTTAAACTGAGGTTTTTGAGGCTAAGGACTATTTTACTTATTCACCTCTGAATCGGTTTCACCTAAATCATGCCTGGCAGAGTTCAATAAATGGTTGCTCTGGGGTGACTTCCTTTGCTACAGAAGCTTTTTCTAGCTTCTGAGCCAAATTACCGCTCCAACTTACTTTTGACTTCAAGAACATCACAACAGGTCTACTCATGTACTTAAGGTGTTAGCTTTTAGAGATTTAAAGACTGGTACCATGTCTTGAATGCCTGGTCTGCTCGAGGCAAAAATGGCATTGTTTCTTTATTCATTTGTAGTGATTAGAATAAAGTTCTGCCAAAATAAGCTTATAATACATTTATTTGAGGTATTCTCATTTTCAGTAGAACTTTATACCAGATGGGGACTTCTCAGGAAAGGCTCCATGGAGGAGGTAGAAGTTGAGAAGGATTTTAGAATTCTATAGCTGGACCTAACCTTGCAAATCTCTACCCATTAAAACTGGTCCAGAGAACCGTGCCTTTCTGAAGGCCCCCTGAGCTAGTTGGTGTCGGTGTGGGAACTCTGCTCATCTCCCACTCTGTACTCTTTGTGTTATATGTGCTATTTGTTCTCCTGCAGATAAGTTAGAATGAAAATACTTGCTAAGTTAGTGACACTAACTGTAAACTCACTCTGCCCACTTAATAGTTATTTTGTACCATTATGAAAACTAAAAACTAATTTAAAAAGTTAAAATTCACTATACCAATAAGACTACTCATTACTGGGGATTTGCTCTATATTCTGCCTAGTTCTGTAATTCAATTTTTACAACAGCCCTGCAAGGAAGATTCTACTATCTCCGTTTTAGAGGAGCGGAAACAGGCTGGGATGTGAGGTACTTGACCTTTGCCCCCACATACTGGTAGACGGCATAGCTGGCAGTGGAATCCAGCTTCTGCCTATCCTTTTAAATGTTGTGTGTGGAAAATAGGACATGAAGTAGGATAAATGAGACAAGTAGAACGCAGGATGCTGGAGATAGAGGGATTTGCATTTGCAATACACACATTTACAGTGCTGCTTGGGTTTCTGAACTTTGCAGTTAAACTAAGGTGACCAGACTTCCCGCTTTTGGCGGGACAGTCCAGATTTTGAACAACTTGTCCCGTGTCCCGCGGCGTTTTAAAAAAGTCCCGATTTTTGGAAAGAATGCATGACACGCTAGGGCAACGGTAATGGAATATACGGCTGCTAAAAAGGTTAATGCAACTCCATTTGGGAATGAAGAGGTTAATGTAACTTCATTTGGAAGTGAAAAGGCTAATGTGAACTCCCTACTCTCCTCTCGGACAAGGTCGCCCAGGTGGGCCAGCGCCCTACTCCTTTGAGCCACAGGCGCCGACCTATACAGATTTTTTTTTAATGTATTATATTTGTAAATTGTACTTATGTTGAAATTAAAAAAATATATATTACAATACTATTTTTTTTTTGTTTGTTTTTCTTTTTTTGAGACAGAGCCTCAAGCTGTCCCCCTGGGCAGAGTGCCGTGGCATTACAGCTCACAGCAACCTCCAACTCCTGGGCTCAAGCGAG